GGGGGGGCAGCGGCGACTGAGCAGCAAGTCGCCCTCGGAAAACAAGAACCTTTCCGGCGTAGAGAGTCGCACCGAACCGAAGAGTACACCGCCGGGTGTTCAATCAGCGTGCGTGCGCCGGCGAGTGGTATGTTTAGGGACATGAGCCCACCCCGGGTCTGAGCCCGGACTCCTTTAGCCCCAACCAATGCCCGATATGAGCACGCCAAGAAGTGGCCCGGGGTGCAACTCGTCAGGCTGGGCACATATCGGGTACCACTTGGGGCTGAAGTGATCCACGCTCAGCCCCAGGCGGGCTCATGTCGTTATATGTACCACCCCGGGTTTTCCTATCGGAGCGAGTAGCCAAACCCTCATCCCTAACAGTATATTTCCGCGAGCATTCCCCCGCTAGGCCGAGTGTACTCATCGAGGGCGACACGCGCCAGGATCACGCCCGGCCGGCGCGGCCTCGCGCGGCGCCTGTCGGATTGTCAGGCCGTGTGGGCGGCGGGCGTGGCGTCGCGTGGCGTCCAGCGACAGCTACGCGGCGCCACGCCCCTGCCCCTGCGGCCGCTCCCCGCCGGCAGCGCCGAGCAGCCAGTTACCCTAGAAACAAAATGTCAGAACCTGTTATATAGTAGACTTATCCACACGTCTGAAACATCTTCCACCATGCCTTGCACCAGAGACTACACCGCGCGCGAGTATACAGTTATACTTGTTTGCGTTTTCTGCCCACGGGTGCAGTCTCAACAGTCGGCAGAGCAACGCGGAGCGGAGGACACCGCTGACCCAGCGGATGCCATCAGCAGCTCTCGGCAACGCCATCATCGCCACCCTCTGCACACTGCGAGGAAAAAAAAACAAGCAATGACACATTTGTCATGTCGTTTCTTATTAGTTTTAGTTTGTGTAAAAATGTTTCAAAATGTATGCATCTGCTAGAAAAAAACACCCTCCATCACGTTGCGGAGACAAGGTGGGAGAGAAGCACAATCCCACACAGCAATTAACATCACTAATATATCTGCTAGATATCAGAAGGCAGAGATCAGATATCTACCCGTCGATTCCCATTTTCGTTGTTTTGTTTTTAATTTTAACAATATCTTTCAAGGTATGTGGAATCCCCAGGCATTATTTCTTTGTACATAGTTTCCCACACCGAGTCCACTCCACACGGAAAAGCTGCATCCAAAATGTCAAATAAAACTATTATTATAGAATTGTACTTACTTTCAAAAAGATAACAACCTTGCGCACCCTGTTGGATTTGGATATCAACTGCACAGACAATCGCAGGTTTTCAGGACTATATTTTGCAGGAAACAAAACAATAAAATTGATGCAAATATCTGCTGTAGGGGTAATATTGAACAAAAAGTTAGGGGGAACAAACAGTCGTAGTCAAAAACAAGATGAAACGAACTCCTGCCCTGTAGAAATGGAGTACGAACTTCCGCGCCTGTCTGGCTGCAGATAGTCAGCCTCTGGCACGGCTACGTCGAATGGGCTGCCTATCCCTCAGGCGGTCGGTGCCTTCGCGTCACCCAAATCACCTTATTTACACCTCCCTACTTTTACCTCTAAACAATAAGCGGCCACTGTACACTGCAGCCCTATTCAGCAAAGAGATAGAGAATATCTATACAATATTCTAAATTACAATAACATTTTATAGCTTAACTATCCCCTCTACTATCAATATTCTATACTAACCATCGGGGCGGCAGCGACAGTTTTCGAATCGATAAAAAACAGAAACAAGAGGGAGGAGGGGGTCTATTAGGTGCTTGATAAATTTGTAATGATATTTTTCATGGGTCAGTGCATTTAGACGCCTCAGGTATATCTTGTCTTGTCAAATCAACACAGAACTGTCATACACTTTTGAATACTTTCAAAATTTTGGGGTACCACAAGAAGAGCAAAAAAAAAAGCCACCCTTTATTTGATTTAGTGTTCCCGATGATTCAAATTTGCTTAAATGGGTACAAATTTTCCAATGGGTTTCCTCCCCTTCCCCTCTAAGTAGAAACAATACTCAATTGACAAACTAAAATGTTTAACATGACCCGTGCACTCGAGATACTCTTTCAAAAATTACTGTTGTAAATTGTACTACGGTCATTATTCTGAGCAGCGTTGAGCTGGTTGAGCCGGCTGGCCGGTGGTGTGAGTGTCTGAAGGCGTGCGGGCAGATCCGGCAAGCAACTAACCAGTTGGTTTGCCAGTAACAGAGGAACCTTTATTGAGCTCCAGTTTGGTGCCTTTATATAACTTTGACAGGTGACTGTCGGCAGGGTGCCAATGTGCATACACAACAAGTATCATTTTTTAAAACAAGAGGCGCATGCACGTACAGGGTGGTCGATCGCCCAGCACCGTTGGAGCATATGGGTGGTATATACTAGCCCGCATGCAGGCGTGCGTGCGGGTTTGCCTATCATCATTGATCAAGGCGCCTTACGGCTCCCTGCCCATAGGCAATACAAAACATTCCCGTGTGCCGTGCGCCTGCATGCAAGAAAGTACTAGACCCATATGCTCAGGGTGACCGCCCACAATGTATGTACAAATTCTACATAGCAAATAAAAAAAATAATTAGCCAATCTGTCAGTAACAATTTTTTATTTTTCGTTGTACAAGTAACATCAGTTGATCTTCCTGTTTTATTTTGCACTGGTCCTCCTTTAAAACATGGAATATATCCTTCCTGTCCAGGAGTGTTTCAATCTTCCACTAGGTATCACAAAAGTTTCATGCATGGCACAAATATACAATTTTTTGAATACAAATCCCTTTGTAAAAATAGACTTTAAGATAAAAACAATAGTAAAAATTGACAATTTAAAATGTGTTAAAGAAGAATTTGCTCCATAAATTCATGACAGGGTACTATAGTAAGATTTTTAATATGGTAAGATCGAAAGATCAAGGAAAAGGTTAATTATATCTTCGGTCTACACTAAATTATTGCACATTTTGTGGTGGTATAGTTTGATACATAAATAAATGCGGACAATGACAATCAAACCTGCTAGTTCTCATTAACGGTAATGTACTAGTAAAATGACTAACTAATATTTCATACACAAAAACCATACATATGATCAAAATTGCTTCCATAGCAGTCACGTACACATAATCAGTCAGCTATAATGTAACAAATTTTATGAAGAGACAATAGGACTGGTGGAGTAATTAATGGATAAAGCCACCCCTGCGTGAAAATTTCGGAGGATAAATATCATTTTTTTTTTCAGATGCGAAGTCAAAGTTAACTACAATGCTTAACATAATAAATAAATTTCATTAAACTGTTAAAACAGGCCATGAAAAAGAAACACAAAAATGCATCTCTATAATACTGAAACAATATGTAATCCTACATGCAAAACATGGCACAGTATGTTGTGTTATGCAAAACACAATAGAAAACATGGTGTTAAAATGAAAATTCATTGCTTGAAGCGAGTACCTTTAACATTGCTTTCAACCTTACTAAGGTAAAATACAACGGTGGCACTCAACAATAACAGAAATCTCTACTGGATAACTAAAAATAACAATAATAATAAAAATATAAGACTGTACAAGTACGTATTTTACATCTTATATACAAATCATTCGACCAACAACAAAGAAAACACTTAAACATAAACACAAGTCCCTGGTGCCAAAAAATAGAATATTTTAGATTGAATTGTAGCACGTTAGAAGAAAAAAAATGACTTCTGCCTCTGCCATGTGTCAGCAGTAAAGCTCCTGACGAAAATACAATATCACTCTTAGCTGGATAGCAGCCCTCTATCTATGTACTACTTTATAAAACAGTTGAGCTCTAAGAAGGTGCTTGCGTTCACCCCACTTAGGAATTATTGCAAAGACCAATTGCAATGTCCTGATTGAATTAAACATTCCACCATTCCTAGAATGTTTCTCACTTGCCTTCGAATGGCAAAAGCGCTTCGCTCACGAGGCAAAGAAATCGGTGGATGCGGGTCCACGACGAGCCGGTATTCAAAGTAAACCAATCGCCAATCGCGTCCCCATCGCGTCGAGCCGCGCCCCGCCGTGTGAAACAGGATGGCACTGGAGCGGCGGGGCCCGCGAGGAGGCAGCGGCGCCGCGGCGGCCGTAAGCCGTAACGGGTTCGTGTGACGCGCGGGGTCCATCGGATGGGCAGGCGCCTGGGATGAACGCTCGTCATAGCATTTTAGCGGATTAATAATAGAACCGGCACTGCCCCGACATTTCCCAACGGTGGCAACATTGTGCCACCTCATGTCGAGCTCTCGGCTGGGTGCGCGTTGACGACCTGCACGCCGTTGGCCTTGCGTGGCGTGAGGTCGGTGGAGCGCCTCGCGGGCACCGGGGGCCGGACAGGGGAGCCGCTGGCGGCAGAGGCCCCCGCGGGGCTCCCGACGGACGCCCGCGAGCCTCTGTCTTCTGGGCTGTGGCTCGCCGCGCGCACCGGGATCCTGGAGCCCTGGATGGAGGTGACGCTCACGTTCCTGCCGGACTTGGGGGTCGTCGCCTGAGAAGTCGCGGCCTGCGGGATCGACGCGTCCTGCGCGTCGCCGTTCATCTTGGACGCCGCAGGCGTGGGTGGCGGCGTGACGGGGGTGGGCGCGGCCGCGTCTGCTGCGGAGGGTTCCTCGGCGGGCAGCGGTACGGCGTACGGCGGACTAGGACTCCGTGGGCTGGGCGCGGGGCTGGACATCGGACTAGGCACCGGGCTACCTGCCGGTGAGGAAAAGCCGTTTAGGACTTTGGAGGACGAGTCCGGCGTCGTGACCTGGATCTCAGTGATGTACGTGAGGGACGACGGCGAGCTGACTGGCACCGGCGATGTGGGCAGCGGGGGCGACGGCGTGGACATGAGGTCGTCCACATCGTCGTCCTCGGCGTCGTGCATCATTGTGGACGAGTCGACCGCCGTGAGGAAGGCGGCGTCGGCGGCGTCCTCTAGAGAGTTGAGTTGCGTCGTCGAGATGAAGCCCGTCTGGATGGAGGACCGGTGGAGATCGCTAGAGGTGATGATCGGCGACTGGAGGGCAGAGATGGTAGCCGCGTCTGGTCTCATCGGGGTGGAGCTGACCATGTGGTGGGCGTTCAGCGAGCTGGGGCCCGACACTGCGGTGTCCGCGGGCCCCACATTGCTGGTCGCGACCACGCTGACGGGCCCGGAGAAGTCCACAGTCGAGGATGTCGGGACGGGGGCGTTCACGCTGACAAGGCAGGCGGTGTCTGAGGTCGAGCTGGGTGGTTGCACGATGATGGACTGGCTGACTGCGATGGGCGAGCCCGCCGGGCTGGGTGGGTTGACAATGATGGAGGACTCGGTGAAGTCCGCTAGGGTGGACGACATGCTGCGGACGGTGACGGATTCGTTCCCCTCCCCCGCCGACGAGGACGAGCTGGAGTTGACGCTGATCCTGGACGCGCCGTCCTCTCCCGGCACGGACCACAGCACCCTGTCGCGCTCGGTGGTGCTGACCGGTGTGGCGGGCGCGGTTGTGGAGGTCTCGTGGGCATCGGCGTCGTAGGGCTCGCCGCGGACCTCTATGCTCAGGGGCTCCATGGAGGAGGCCGTGAAGCTGAACGGCTGGTCGTCCTGGACCGTCACCTCGCCGAACTTTGTACCGACGAAGAAAGAGCTCTTCAGTTCTCCCTTGGGGATGACCTCGGCCACCGTGGGGGCCGTGGTGAGGACTCGCACCTGGTCGTTGTCGGAAGCGATGAGGGCCTCCTCTAAGGTGCCCCAGTCGGAGGACTTCTTCAGGCGACTCCGCTCGAAAGTGTTGAGTCCTCCGTCCAGGCGGGGTTCTTTCCTCGCCGAGGCGCCGTAGTGCGAACCACCGAAGGCCTCGTCCATCGCGTCCAAGGACAGGTCCTCGTCCTCGTCAGCCTCGGACGCGCCCGAGGGGGCAGTCGGCGCCTTTCGCTTCTTGGCGGAGGGCGCGTCCAGGTCGAGGGACACGGCCCTCTCCAGCACGGCGCCGCCGCTGAGCTGGTCCTCGATGCGGGACAGGTCGCCGAGCGAGGCCGCCTTCCTCGTCATCTCCTCGTCGAGGCCGTGGCTGTGGTGGACAGTGACGTGCGAGGCCGTGAGCTCGATCGTGGTGCGGGGTCCGGCGATCGGCGCGACTGCCATACCGCGCGAGTTGGGGCCGTCCGCCTCGGAGTCGCTGTCCGACGGCATGGGCAGGGACTGCAGGGCGTCCTCGCCGTTGACTAGAGCCGCGAAGGCCTCTGCCGGCGCGGGTGACGGCGTCGCGACGCCGTCCCTGGCCGTTGGAGTCGCCGGGGCGGAGGGTGGCCTGGGCGCGATGCCCTTCCGCTTGACCTGCTGTTTCTGCTCGCCGCTGCTCGAGCTGTTCCGGGACGAGGCGCGGTTGTCCATCTCCGCGGACTCAACGACCTCGATGGATAGCGCACCGAGGGACTTGCGGTTGTTCCTCGCGGCCATAGCGGCCAGGCGGACCTCCTCTGGGATCTCAGTCGGGATGCCTCGGCCGCTGGGCTTCCTGGTGAGCACCTGCTCCGCCTCGGCGGGGGCGACGCGCACGGCCTCGCGCATCACCGGGGCCTGCTGGAGGGACGCGGTGGACATGACTGGGCTGGCCTCCACCACGGCCTGGGCAGGGGCCGGGGCTGGGGCCGGGGCCGATGTCTGAGCTGCGGTCGGGGTCGGCGGCGGGGACTTCTTTCTGTCCAAGGAGTGCAGCAGGCTGTGGAAGCCCTTGCTGATCTTGGTCTTGACCTCCTTGGCGACCACGCCGACCTTGTGCTGTTCCTCGGGCGAGGCAGAGCCGAGGTCCACGTCGTGGAAGCCGGGCGCGGCGGTGCTGGAGTAGGGGTTGTAGCCGTCGGGGACGTCGATGCCGCGCTCCAGGTAGGCGTTGTGGACGTTCTGCTGCTCGGGGTGCGCCTGCGGGGAGGTCTGCGCCGGCAGAACGCGCACGCCCAGCTTGTGCACGCTGCGCTCGGGCTTGACGGCGAGCACGCTGCTGGACGGCGCGAGCACGGCCGTGCTCTGCTCGTGCCGCGCGAGCTCGAGACGCTGCTGGCCGGGCGCGTGCGGCGTGCTCGTGTGCAGCTTCAGCGTCGGGTACTCGTTGGGGGTCTCGCTGCGCGCCGGGGATGCGTCGATGGCGTGCGCGCGCTTGCCCTTGCCGATCTGCGAACAACAAGAAAAAAGGACAAGTCAGAGAGGGTGCGTGGGTGGGGGCAGTATGTTGAGCAGGACGCGGGGAGGAGAAGGGCCTACCTGCGCGAGGTCCGCGATGGACTGGCTGCGGTAGAACGGGTGCACGATGCGGTCAGCGGGCGCGAGCCCCACCTGGGCCAGGGCCTCCTTCTCCTTCTCGTGCTCGCGGTCGCGCCGCAGGAGGGACGAGGGCCGCGACGACGCTCCCGCCGTGCCCGTCTCCACCTCCAGGGTCACCTCGTACGGCGAGGCGTACGACAGGATGGTGAGCGCGTCCTCGAACACCATGTGCGACAGGCTGATGCGGATGCCGTGGATGCGGTCCCCGGGGAAGATGAGGCCGGACTCGGATGCGGGTCCGCGGTGCAGCACGTCCTTGACGAAGATGCCGTCCCGCATGTTGCCGCAGATGTTGAAGCCCAGGCCGGTGAAGTCGTGGCTGCGCAGCGACACCTGCGTCACCTGCGGCTCCTGGGAGAGAGAAGGAAGACGTGAGTGATGTGCTGTGCAGCAGCCGCCTGGCGGGCTGGGCGCCTGGAGGGTGGGCAGTCCCGCTGCACACCGGAGCGCATCGGCTGCCGCCATAGCAGGCGCCCTCGCAGACGCCTCGGCGGTACTTCAATTTACAAGCAAGAGGACGTCGGAAGTCTTTTTCAAAATGCATTGACAAGAGGAGCAAATAAGAGTGAATAACGGCTGTTTACTCTAGGGGCCAGACCGACAAAAACGTGCTGATAAAACTCGCGAATCTTATCGAGGGGAAGAAACTCTTCAGTCCGCCCAGGTCGACCTGGGGAAAACCCAGGCGAAAGGATAAAGCGAGGATTATCTGACAAGAGAAAAAAATTAAGCCGCGCCCAACTGAAAAAAATAAATAAAAATAAAAACTTACGGTAGGGAACGAGTCGTCCATCGCCCTGCGCTTCTCCCCCTGCAGGCCTCCCAGGTTGTTTCTGATGGCACCGAGTCCACCCCACGCCGTCCATTTGTTCTTAAGAAGAAAGGTGGGAAAAAAATGGAAAACGGGGAATTAGTAAAGCATACGAGATTTGGAATAGTAAAAAACGAGAGTGTGAGAGAGAGGGGCTGGCTTAGAGAGCGAGATGGATCTAAAGCGTTTTCATTCCGTCCGTGTCGACCTGCTGCCGAGACCAATAATTTCCCTTTCCGTGTAATTTATGCCCAGCGGGTCCAGGCCGGGGCCAGGAGGCGCGGCCCCGACGCAGCAACACGGCGCGCTGCAGCTCGACACGGCGTTTCCTCGGGGCCGCGTCACATGACGGGGTGTGACGACGCGGCCCCGCGGCCCAGGACGCAGAGGGCCCAGGGCACAGCGGTCAGAGAGCGCCCCCCAGCTGGGAAGGCTGATGGCCCATTCATCCCAGGGACCCTTTCATTTTCATGCATCCATACATATAGTTCATTCGCTAAATGTAGACACACCGGCATCCCTCTAAACCCGAGGCCCCATTGTAAGCGTCATTACGATGCGTGGAGCCCTGTCCCCGGCCCCCGCCCGACCCCTAGCTAGACCTGCCAACATCTTTTCATAGGGAGAGCGGAGGCTGGCGAAGCAGGCGCGGTCGTCTTCGGCAACTCTAGGCCGAGGGATCGACCCTCGTAATGAGCGTAACCAGGCCGTTTATGAGGGCAACAAAGAAGGGCCAGCGATTGTTTCGATTTCCTTTGCGTGCCGGTGTGTCTACATTTAGCGAATGAACTATACGTCCTTCCTTTCTTTCATTCATTCATTCAGGAACCATTGTGCGCAGCATACACAGCGCGAGTGCATTAATCCCCGATACAGTACGTAAGTAGTTGTCCGGATGGACACTATATTATTTTTCGTCGGCAATATTCCCTAATTAATTCGGCGCGCGCAGCGTTGGCGGTTTTGTTATTGAAGATTCGACGCGCCTTTCCCCGGCGGCGCGCGGTGGCGGCGCGCTCTCTTGTGTCCTCTCTGGCGGGCTGCCCGGCGCTGCTGCCCGCGCGCGCACAGTGTAGTACACCGACCGCGCCGCCGATGAGCTATTGGATGACCATCACGGGCGAGACCGCGAGGACGCCAATCAGGTCACGGAGTGCCGCCCCGCCCCGCCCCGCCCCGCCCCGCCGGCGCTCCGTCACGTTCAGCGGGACACCTCAGATGGAGTGACGCGCGCGAAGATAAAGCAAACAGACCGATGACAGTAATCGCGCCGGCCAAGAAGAATGGAGTGAAAACCTTTTATATAGTGCAGCAGGGGGACGGAGCGCCGCCGCAAAGGGAAAGGCTGACGGCGTTATATTTTTGGCAGCAAAACCTTTTATTTTTGCAGGGTGCATAGTGCAAGTGTGTTGTGTACGTGAGTGTGCGCGGGGGCCGTGGTCGTATATAGATTAGCAAACACTTACTTTCTGCTCCATCTTGGAGGGGTCCTTGGACTCGAGTACAGCTTTGGAGACCGGAGTTGCATCTGGCGAAAATAAAATAGAATGAAGAAATGTGTTTGAGATGACTCTCGTAACGTGGCAAAAAAAAGGCGCTGGACTTTTGACAGACGGATTAAAGCATTGAAATATATCCTTGAACAAAGTTCCCTCCTGGCAGAGTAGCCCGACGTGCCGTCGTCTCCCTAAGCCCGGCCCGGCTGGGCCCGGCCCACGTCGGGCTTGAGGGGTTCAAGGAGTCGCGCGTCGTAAACACGGTGCAGGTAACAAGCATGCGGGAACTGTCAAAAGTTTCCTTCAAAATCCTTTGTTTGTGTCCACTAAAACTAGGACGTTTACAAAGTATATTTATTGCGTTTTGAGATCACAAAATCACATTTTTCTATGTAAAAACAAGCTGGTGAATTGTGGAATTGCTATATGCACAGAGGATTTTCAGTTAATTTAAATTTAAGATAATTTTTACACAATGATATATTTACCTTTGAAGCAAGGGTTATCGAAGGCGTACTCGCCCCCCTTCTCCGGGTCCGTAACCAGGACGAGGTGTTGTCCTGAAAGCAGACAGAAAACCAGATATTAAAAACTGCGTCAGAGTAAAAGGCAAGGGGTCACCAGCGGCCAGATCCTGGGCAGCCGCCGGGGCGTCGGAACAGCAGGGGCACAACCCAGTTTTCTGGCCTGCCCTGCCAGGCCCCGCAGGAGGCGCGGGTCAACCGCCTCTCCGGTTTTTGCCGTAAACCAGCCTACACGGCGGGGACAACAGCAGGACCACGCCATTTTATACATTATAGTCCGAGAGCACTTTCCCCAGACGACCGCAGGGACCCCATGGCGAACAGAAGGGATGGCTCCAACGATACATGCGTGTTGCACTTCCCAAGGTTAAAACAAATTGTTTTTAATGAGTAAAAGTAAAAATTGAATGAAATGCATGCATGACACCCTTGAGCAATTACACCCTGGATCTACGTATGGTCAGTCGTTCTCTCTCTCTCTCTCTCTCTGGTCGTCTGTCGTCCTCCACTCTCCCTCTCTGGCGCATGCTCCCCATATGCGTGCGAGTGCACACAGAGAGAGATAAAGGTGAAAGTTAAGAAGGGCTGATGAGATGGGGGCGCCCTGCTGCTGCTCCACGGCCCGGCGCTGCAAAGGGCACCACTGCCGCGGCCACAATGGCGCGCACGGACCCAATAGAGAGATTACGCACTCGATTGCGGCCTCTGGCGCATCACCCATTCTCTTTCTACGTGCGCACAGGTGCACCACCGAGTGCACAACCACCTACCAACCACCACGATGCTTTGCTATTACAAAAGCGATATGCTTTGCATCATGAAAAACATTATTATTGCTCATTGCTTTGCAATAGAGCAAAGCGTCGCCTTTGTAATTTCAAAGTAAACTCCTTCGTTGTGTTACAAACGATCAAAATCCTTCACAATTTGCAAAGAATTGCTTTCCCGAAATTTAATACGTTGAGTCCCAAGGGGGGTCTCGTATACGGCATATTGTGACCATACGTGTGGTCACGTGGGACTCAAGGTGTAACAGTGCACTACATAGACCAATAATAACTTCTAGGAATCAAGAAATAAACTCCGCATTATTATTGTTCATGCTATTATTTCGGCAGTGTGCCGACGGACGACGCTGCAGGTGCGGCTGCTGTGTGATGCAGCGAAAAAAGTCGTAACACACACACATACTGGCGCGCACACGCACACACACACACAAGTTACACGTGTCGGGAAATAAAAACGCAGCACGCAGCAGTCCCGGGTAGCACCTCGCCCGCTCCCACGAGCACACCGAACATATTATACCCTCCAATAAAGCGGCCAGTCTCATGGCGCGCGCACTCCTCCTCGTCGTCCTGGACCACGCCGACTACTGTACTGCAACACCGCGGCGCATCTGCATAGTTACGCGGGTCCAACTCGACGCGCCGCGGAACCGTGCGGAGCGACACCGGGGCGCTAATGACATTACCACTCGGGCAAGTGTCGGCCGCCGGCCATCCGCGTGCAATTAAAGAGAAAGTCGTGAAAGGCCGGAGGAAAAAAAAATGTTTATAAGTAAATGTGGCTGTTGAGGGGTCTTCGGATCGGCGGCGGCGCCGGGGAGCAGCTAGCTCGTGTGACCTCTGGCACTTGTGCGCCGTCGGCACACAGGTGCGAGTGCGGCGTGTGGAGGGTGGTGGACGGGAAACGTAAGACGAGTGATTTTCTTTTCTCGTAGTGTATAGGGAAAGGGGGAGGGGGGCGTGTGGGCAGGACTGCAGGACGACGACGACGATGAGGGAATATATGGGTCATCGGGACTGCGGGAAAGGAAGTCGCGTCGATGGGTCCATCGCCTTCCCTCCCCCCTTCCCCATCTCACTACTGCCTCTCGCCTCTCTTCACTCTTACCCCTTACCCACTCCGCTCTCTCGCTCTCCTGTTAGTGAGGAGGAGGAGGAGGAGGAGGTAGTGTTGCGCGCGCCCGCGAACGCCTGACCAGGCCCAGCCGAAAAAGGGCGGGGACATCGCCACGGGGGGCGGACAGGTTTCCTATCTATCCATCCTTACCAGAGCCTTTCGCTCGCTCGCCCGCCTACTCTCTGACTTTTCTCCGCGCGGCCGCCCCAGCAGCGCAGCTCTGTGTGCTCTGCTCATAAGAATTCGTAATAATTTAATTCGTCCTATTCAATTCAATCCGGTGATGGGTGACGAGACGTAAGAAGTCATCTGACGCGTCCGTTAAGCACAGCAGGCTGCGTGCGTAACGACAGACTGCTGCTCCTAACCGGAGCGGTGAGCTCGGCGCGCCAGGCGAGTCCCGAAAGGAATTTCAGGTGTGTATCGGCCGTAACACGAGCGCTCGCGCCACGCGCGCCGCGCCTCTCATTTCATAAATTATTAAAATAATAGTCGTAGTAGTAGAAAGTAAGTGGACCGCCCTCTTACGTCAGGGCGTGTGGGCGGGGAGGGGGGGGGGGGGGAGCTCGATCACCGGGTCGGACAAGGCGGGGAGACAAACATTGTCCCTTATTGTCATTGGGAGTGTGTGAGAGAGAAAACCATTACACACGGTTCGACGATGCTAGAGGAGTGTGACACACGTCCCTGCTTGTAAAACACCGGAAAAAACATTTCAAAGACAAGAAGCCGTTAATTATTTTAAGAATAATCAACAACAGGAGTTGAATTTTTACAATTGAAGGGTTAAAAACTAAAATTCGTGTTGTGGATTTGTTTTCTTCACAATAACGGGCTGCGACCAACAACCAAACCGGATCATATTTCGCCTCAGTTTAGTCAGGAGGTGCGGATATATATTTGCTGCGGCCAAGCGGCGGAATTTTGGCGTGCGGCTGCGCCAACCAGGTTCGGTCCGTCCTTCACGCTGGACCCCGAAATAATACGCCCCGGCCTGGCCTGATGTGGTGGTGTCCAATCGGTCGCCTCCGAGGAGAGCGTAGCCCGGCGCTGCTGCACCTCTCGCTCCGACCTCGGCCGCGTGTGGTGGACGTCGTGTGGTCCGGGACCGACGAGAGCGTGCAGCCGCGCTGAGGCGCAGCAGCCCTGGGCGCAGCTCGGTCGAGGCGCACTTCGGACGCCACTCGTATCGTATATGCTAATTAACGACCTAAAATGAACATCATAAATGGCCTCGACCCTGGAAGGGGGGCGGTCCCCATCGGGAGCGGGGAAAGGGAGAGGAGGAGGGGGAGGGAGATATGACGAGGAACCAGTTCCCGAACAAGACTCGGCGCCGTTCGAAGCAGCGACGGCCGCCGCCGCCGCAGCGCGCGCCGCAGATGCCAAACCGGGCGGCAGGACACCCGAATCAGTGAGCACGTCCGCGGCCGGCTGAGCCGAGCCCACCTGCTGCACCCGGGAGGACGGGAGAGGCCCGGCGGCTAGGACCCTATACACACACTGTTAAGATCTGGCAAACAAAATTATGTGCAAACGAATTGCACATTCACCAGGGATCACACACTCGAAATGTAAAGGGACAACTTTGATCATAATAAGGCAACATTTTCGCGCGCGCATCTAGACCGGATACAAGTTTGTTCCTAGAAACTGGTCAAATTGTGTATGGAGATTTTCACAATTTGCTCTGAAAAACGCGAAGCACAGGAACACCGCGGAAAGGTTTAGCTGGACACAAAAACAACAATCTTCCTTCGGCCGCGTCGACCGCCCGGCAGGTAGGCAGTACAGTTACGCACCCGTGCGTTACGGGATTGCCTACGCGGCAGGCGCTAGGAGCGAGGGGGCTGGTCCTCGCACTACACGGCCACTGTTCCCGGATCCTGATCCTGGTGCTCAGTTCTCGTTGCACCGTGCCCCACCGTGCCCGACCGTGCGGGCGTGCTCGTGCGCCCCGTTTAGGTTTAGGATAGTAGGCGTGAAGGACAGACTGGTAAAACAATACAAACGCACGGCTCACATCGCACGCCGCTGCCAATAAGTAAGTCTCAATGTCGTCGTCTGCAACAGCGAGGACAGGAGGGGGGGCAAGAGAGAACAAGCGCGAGGGAGCAAGAGAGAGAGAGGGGGGGGGGAGTAAAGGAGAGACAAGAGGGAGACAAGGGGGAAAGAGACACACACAAAAATTCGCAAACAAGCCTCAGAGTAAATAAGCGAGAGGAACAAAAGTACGTAGACGAGCAGGATGGCGACGCGCGTGTCCGGTGACGGGGCCTTCACCCCCCCCTTTCCCTTCCTCTCTTCGCCGCGCCTTCCGCGGCGTTGTCATATTTCGACGTGTTAGGCGTCCCCCGCGAGGGACAAACCCTTTCGCAGAGTTCGTTTTCGCCACAAACAATGCGTCACGCGTTCCTTCGTCCCCCCCCCCTGCCTTTTCCCTTAATCCCGATCACTTAACGTCATTACCGTGTATGGTACCGGTAAATGTTGTTTTGGCCATGCGACTTTCCATTTGGCACCGGCGGAGACGCACTCCATGGCAAAAACCTAAACCTGGGTGGTGATGGAAGGTGACCGCTCTGACGCCAGCCTCCTCAACTCCAAGCTCCCCGACAGGAGAGTCAGCCAGATCCAGGATGCCGCCCCCTCCAGGGGGCCCACACATACATACAACGCGCCGCCCTTTCCGGTGTGAGATTTTGGTCCGTGCCTCCCGATCGTGACTGGACTTAAAGCACACACCTGCACCCTACACCCTGCACCCCCCCCCCCTCCTCTTGTCCTGACGTCACACACCTCTTCCCCACGCGCATACCGATGTAACGCTCTGCCTTATCAACCAGGATTAATCTCGCCCTCGCCTCAACGCTTTATCCACCGCCTCTCGACAACCGCGCGCCGAGAGCTCCCCGTGTTTTCTATCTCCCTACCTCCCCCCCCCTGAAAATCCCCTGAACATCAACTTTGAAAATATTTTTTTTTCGACGCTCCAGAGCAAGCCGCGGGAAGTAGTTGGGACGAGTGCAACATATTGCGGAGCGCGAGTGGCAGCGACGTCAAATCGCGAGCAGAGCCGGGAGAGCAGAGTCGGGAGAGCAGAGCCGGGTGAGCGGGAGCGGAGGCGCGCT